TTCCCTCACACATCTCTCTCAGATAAACTTCATCTTTCCATCTTTAACTCTCCTATCTGCTAGAAAATTAATCCAGATGTTTTCATTAATGTCTGTGGTGTAACAACGGAAAACCATGGCCGTATGGTTTCCTGGTTGTAAAAGCTGATTAATTATGTTGTTGTTTTCATATTCTGCCAAATTAATGTAAATGTTTGATGTTAAACTTTGATTCTGTAAAATAAATGACCGCATTCATTTTGATGGGTCAAAAAAAAAAAAGACGTCTCACGTTACATTTCATTAAATTCAACGCACGAACATCACACAGTCCAGAAAGATGAGTGAACCCGTTTAATGTATGAATATATCTCAGGATATGTCATACTACAAAATTATCGAAGTTGCTGTGGTTCCTACAAAAACTGACATCTTTCAACTCAAGATTTTATTTTCCGTGCACAACCTGCATCATTAGAATGGTTTAATTTTTACTTTTTATCCTTGCATTTGTCACGTCTAGACTGGTCTATTGCAATGGTTTGTTATCTGGGTGTCCAAATACTTCTTTAAAATGTCTTCAGTTGATCCAAAATGCTGCTGCCAGAGTCTTAACTGGAGTTAGTGGGAGGGATCATATTTCTCCAGTTTTAGATGTTCTCCATTGGCTCCATCAAGTCCAGAATAGAATTAAAAATCTCACTTCTAACCTACAAAGCTCTCAACAACCTGGATCCATCTTATAGTCAAGATCTTATTGTTCCATATTTTGCTAACAGAGCACTTCACTCTCAGGCTGCAGGTTTACTTGTGGTTCCTAGAGTTTCCAAAAGCAGAATGTGAGGAAGATCTTTCAGTTATCAGGCTCCTCTCTTTTGGAACCAACTTTCAGTTTCTGTCCATGAGGCTGACACATTATCCAGTTTTAAGACTGGACTTTCCTTTTTGATCAATCCTAAAATCCTAAATCCGCTTGTCCTGAGCCTGGTTCTGTTGGAGGTTTCTTCCAGTTAAAAGGGAGTTTTTCCTTCCCACTGTCTCCTTTGTGCTTGCTCAGGCTTGCTCAGGACGGAGACTGCGATGAAGTGAAGATTCAACAAAATCTGCAGCTTCGTTAGATGGAGAACTTTACTAAGTGTTTTTTAATGTATGTAAATGTTTCTGTTCATTGTCCTGAGACGACTTCTATTGTGACTTATAGAAATAAACTGAATTGAATTGTTTACTCATCCTCTAATTACTGTATACATGAAACATAAGAATACAAATGATCTTACTGCAGTCTGTATTTAAACCTCACTGCCGTTTAGTCATGTTTTTATTTTGTTCTTCCTTTGTGACTTGTTTATTCATACAAACAGTAAAATCCTAAATAGCAGCACTTCAATTCAATTAATTGTATTTATATAGAGCCAAATCACAACAGAAGTCATCTCAGGACACTGAACAGAAAAGACAGGATGAGTAGGTGGCGTCTGCACTACATTAAACAGTTTAATTTTCTGCTGACATCCAGCAGAGAGTGATGAATACACTCACCTCAACCATATGGCTGATGCAAACACAGCATGGTGTTTTTGATGCCAAGAGAATATGAAGTCCTAAATAAATCATTAAGTCGGTCTAACTGCTGAATTTGATGAATGTTAGGCCATGCTTTAACTAGCAGGTATTCTTGTCTTTGTTGTGAATGTATCTTGTTGACAAACAGTGACACACTAACCCTTCATACCTCTGACAGGTGATCATTCTTTCTCGCTCTTCATCACTCCTAGCCAGCCTCAGTGCCAGTGACAGAGAGAGAAGCAGATCCACTGTCATTAGTGTATGTTTGTGTCCACAGCAAATGCGTCGTACGGGAAACAAGGACGAGAACAAGAGGATCCTGATGGACTTGGATGTGGTGCTGAAAAGCCATGACTGTCCTTACATCATCCAGTGCTACGGTGCCATTGTCACTAATGTGAGTCTCACCAAAACACTTGAGTTTAAATGTAAGGAATCTTTAAGCTGGTGCTTTTTGTGCCTTTGCACACGGTGTGTCTTTGATGATGTTTGTAAACTTTTTAGTGTTTTAAATTGAACTGGTAAAGCCAGATGTTTGTTTCTGTATATATGCACAGACTGATGTATTCATTGCAATGGAGTTGATGGGAACATGTGCAGAGAAGCTGAAGAAGAGAATTCAGGGTCCTATTCCCGAGCGAATCCTTGGAAAGATGACGGTTGCAGTGAGTGTTACATGCAGAAGGCAATGTGTGACTTTTCTCATGTGAGTGTCTAATGCTTGTATCTGTATTGTTTTTGTTTCTGCTGTAGATCGTGAAAGCATTGTTGTACCTGAAAGAGAAACACGGAGTCATCCATCGAGACGTCAAACCCTCCAACATCCTCATCGATGCTAAAGGTCAGATCAAACTATGCGACTTCGGCATCAGCGGTCGTCTCGTCGACTCCAAGGCGAAGACTCGCAGTGCTGGCTGTGCTGCCTACATGGCGGTGAGCAGATGCTTTCAAACACAAGTTGTACATTTAAAACTACAAGTAGCTCTGTGCAGGAAGCATGACCATCACAATGGGCTTTCTGCACTCTGAACCCCCAAATACCTCATGCCAGATAAATAAAACAGATGAGTTTAATTTATATAGTGCACTGACAGCACAATGATGCAGCTGGTTGATGTTTCTATTTCAATTACTGTAAAATAGACCAGTTAGTTTCTCTTATTTATGAATGTTTTATCAGCTATGAGAGCTAGAGCTGGGCGATATCTCAATTTTTAAAATATCGAGATAAAAAAAGTTGCGATATAAGACGAGACTATATCAATATAAACGATATTGTGTTATACTTATAAATCTGCCTGCTCTTCTTTTTCCCCACACGGCCACACTTTCTTCCTCCTTGAATACAAATCCAGTCTCTCGGCCGCGCTCTCCTCCTGCTTCCTGCTTCTCCAGGAGGTGGGTGGGAGACGTTTAGCACAAGTAAACACGGGAGATATGAAGAGCTGCTGAGCAAAAAGAAAAACAATGGTTGTTCTTTCGGAGATGGTTTGGATTTCAATTGTCAGATGAGGAACAGAAAAATGTTTGTTGTAGACAATGATGAAAATAAGTCCCGACAAAAGTTTGGAACTACAAATCTTTTTCAGAGTCAGAGTTTCTTTATTGTCATTCGCACCACATGTGGTACATGTGGTGGAGCGAAATTATGTACACAGGGTCCCAGTTACATCCGACAATAAAATGTATAAGAAAAACAGTAATAACATCTAAGATATGAACTAAGAAAAACATCAACTAAATATACACTAAGCACTCATAACATAAAACATTGAACATCAGCACAAACATGAACATGAGTCTGTGAGCAGATGTGCATGCATGAACACATCAACATTGAAACAGATCAGCAGCAACATGAAACAGATCAGCAGCAACATGATATGGTTTTTCACAGTGATTATTCTAGTTAGAGATTCATGAGTCTAACAGCCTCAGGGTAGAAGCTGTTCCTCAGTCTAGTGGTTCTACACTTAATGCTCCTCAACCTCCTTCCTGAGGGGAGTGGAGCAAAAAGTGTGTGTGCTGGGTGAGTGGGGTCCTTCATGATGCAGGTGGCCCTCTTCCTGCATCTGGAGGTGTAGATGTCTGTGATGGTGGGGAGGCTGATTCCGACAGATTTCTGTGCAGCCTTCACCACTCTCTGCAAAGCTTTTCTTTCTGCAGCTGTGCAGCCTCTATGCCACACGTTGATGCTCGAGCACAGGATGCTCTCCACTGCACACCTGTAGAAGGAGGTGAGGACTGAGCTTCCCAGACCAGCTCGCCTCAGCCGTCTGAGGAAGTAGAGTCTCTGATGAGCGTTCTTGATCAGGCTGGTGGTGTTGTTGCTCCAGCTGAGGTTGTCATTCATGTGTACACCCAAGTACTTGTAGCTGGAGACCACTTCCACCGCAGATCCTCTTATGTTCAGGGGGGTGTAGGTGTTTTTGTTCCTTCTGAAGTCCACAATCATCTCCTTTGTCTTATTCACATTGATGTGAAGGTTATTCTCTTTGCACCAGCTCTCCAGGTGTTCCACCTCTTGCCTGTAGCTGGACTCATCATTGTTTGTGATGCATCCCACCACCGCTGTATCATCTGCAAACTTTACAATGTGACAGCCTGGATGGGTAGCTGCACAATCATACGTGAGCAGAGTAAACAGGAGGGGGCTCAACACACATCCCTGAGGAGAGCCAGTGCTGAGGGTTATGGTGGAGGAGGAGAAGTTGTGGATCCTCACTAACTGTGGTCTGTTTGTTAAAAAAGTCTAGTACCCAGTTGCAAATGGAGGGGCTTAGTCCTAGTGTGGATAGTTTGTCCATCAGGGTTTGGGGGATCATGGTGTTGAAGGCGGATGTGAAGTCCACAAAGAGCATACGGACGTATGTTCACCATTTTAAACAGCGCTATAAAGTGAAGTGAAGTATGACGCGTGCGTTAAGCTGCAGGTCCAACAAACTTCAGCCTCCTTCCCTAAAACAAACCACGGTATAAAACATTAGCCGTGCTGTGCCTTATGACAGGAACAGTGAGGTGTTGCAACATTAATAAAGCAGTGGCTAATCATATTGCTAAAGACACGGTCCTTAGCGGCTAACAAGACGACTAACGCTTTAACCGTCTTGTTCCACAACTGAGACTGGAACCTTGGAACAGCACGGCTAAATGAGTTTTATACCGTGGTTTGTTTTAGGGAAGGAGGCTGAAAACACTCAGACCTGCAGCTGCAGCGTCACACGCTTACTAATGTCATGAAGGTGGCACAGCTGAAGAGGATTATTATTTAATCTATGTAAATAAAGGTCTAAAAAATAAACCATTTAATATATGTAAATTGTTGGGTTTTTTATATTTATTTTGTAGTTACAGCTGTTTACTATATGTACCTGTGTGATAACTGAGACAAAACACAAAGAAATATATTTGTTAGCACAAGCCCAACTTGCACTTATATATGTAAATAAATGTCTAAAAAACAAACTTTAATATATGTAAATAGTTTTATTGTTTAGCTATTTATTTTGTACAGTTACAGCTGTTGTTAGTAAATGTGCTTGTTTGACAAAGGGGACAAAGCTTTGACTCAGAAATATATTTTTATTACTTTATGGAAAGAAAAAATATTGAGATATATATCGTATATTGCGGTTTATCTTAAAATATTGGGATGTTTATTGTATATCGCAATTTATTTTAAAAATATCGAGATATTAATTTTGGTCCATATCGCCCAGCCCTAGTGAGAGCGAAGCAGACCAAGTCAAGGTGTCTGAATCACAATATTCATAATAAATGGAACAATTTTAACCAATTATGAAACTGTGAGTATAAGAAGAAATTCTTAAAGAATGAGTTCAACAAAGAAGGTTATGACATTGTTGTAAAATGCTCCAGGAAACGTCGGCCCTTTGTCATTTTGTGCCCCCATGCTGCCTAGGCAGGTACGAAAAGAGCCACGGCAGAAGGTACGAGTCCGAGCGTACAAAGTGATCAGCAAACATCAGCAAAGTCCAGCCACAGAATAAACTGTTCTGGGAAAATGTTTTCTAATTTATTCTTAGTTCTCCAAAAGTTGCATGTCTGTCATGTGGAGACAAACAAGACACAGAAAGGATATAGTCGAGTCGTGAACCTGCAGCCTCCTTTCTTGCTGCGGGGCTCGAATCACCGCCTTGTCTGTGTTTCCTTGAACTAATCAAGGGTTGAAGAAGCTGCAGATGTTTGGGTGTTGAAAGGTTGTTTTTTAACATAGTGCATCTTTGTTGGACAACCATCCTAAAAAGCCACTGGTACTAATTCTGCACCAACATCTTGTTATACGTATGGTAATGTTGTCACTTCTTGTGTGGCGACAGATCTGTACTGGCCATGCCTCTTCTGTAGATCAGGCTCTCTAAAAAAAACAGAGCACAACTTAAAATGTGATTTGCTGGTGAAACCGTCTGGGCTTGTGAACGGTTTCGTCTGATGGTCTGTAAATCCTGCTGACACAAAACAACTTGCAGCAGTCAGCCAGAAAACACAGAAAGCTCGTGCTGCACTGTTTTATTATAAACAAGAAAGTTATGATTATTAAATTAAGGTAACAATTGTTTAACTTTATATTTATTAATTTATTCTTGGGTCTACTCGAGATCTTTTCTTAGAACCTTGAAGGTTCTGAATGTTCGCCGCTGGGTTGCCCAGAACAGGCTGCCCCGAGAGGACGGCATCTGTTGAGACTGAATCACGTCGTCTTTCTTCTGACTGAGACACTTGATTCTGTCATTACAGGTGCTAAAGCTGAACATTACAACCACTGCATGATAAAAACCTTTGAGTTTAGGTCGACAGAAGAGCCGATGTCAGCCGTCAAAATAAGTTTTGCTGCAGGATGTTAGTTATGACAAAGAAAACCAGGACCAACAAACCAGAGACCAGAACTCTGAAATAATAATAATAATAATAATAATCATCATTTTATTTAAAAAGCGCCTTTCATGACACCCAAGGACACTTTACAGTAAGAACAAAGATCAACAGGAATAAAGAATATAAAATACATAAAGAATATAAAATACATACAGAATATAAAATGCGTAAAGAATATAAAATACATACAGCAAAGTTAAGGACAAGCGAGTCTAAAGAGATGTGTTTTCAGAGCAGTCTTGAATATAGAAAGAGAGGTGGTGTTTCTTAAGTCAGGGTGTAGAGAGTTCCAGAGATGAGGAGCAGAGCAGGTGAAGGCCCTGCTCCCCATGGTGGAGAGGCGGGCAGAGGGTACATGGAGGTGTAGTGAAGAGGAGGATCTGAGAGAGCGAGAGGGGATGGAGATGTGTAGGAGGTCAGATAGGTACGGAGGGGAAAGGTTGTGGATAGTTTTAAAAGTTAGAAGAAGAATTTTGAAGACAATGCGTGATTTAACCGGGAGCCAGTGGAGCTGCTGCAGGACAGGAGTGATGTGGTTATAGGAGGAGGTTTGAGTGATGACACGGGCAGCTGAGTTCTGGACCAGTTGTAGCTTCTGGAGAGATTTGTTGGGGAGGCCATAAAGAAGGGAGTTGCAGTAGTCAATCCGAGAAGTCACAAGACTGTGAACAAGGATGGCTGTGGAGCGGGGTGTGAGAGAAGGGCGGAGACGGTTAATATTTCGGAGATGGAAATAGGCAGACCGAATGACGTTGTTGATGTGTGAAGTGAAGGAGAGAGTGGTGTCGAGGATGACACCAAGACTCTTGACCTGAGGCGAGGGGGATAGCAGGGAGTTGTTAAGGGGGATGAGAAGATTTTCTGATTTTGAAAGAAGAGTTTTTGGTACCGACAAGAATAATTTCTGTTTTGTTACTGTTTAGTTGTAGAAAGTTGTTGGAAAACCAGTGATTTAGCTCATTGAGACAGTCGGTGAGGATGGAGGGTGGGTGGGTGGAGTTTGGTTTTGTTGATAGGTAGAGCTGTGTGTCATCAGCATAACAGTGAAAATGGACACCGAATTTACGGAAGATTTGACCTAGAGGAAGGAGGTAAATGATGAAGAGGAGGGGTCCGAGGACAGAGCCTTGGGGGACACCCGTGGAGACGGGGGAAAACTGGGAACGAAAGGATTTGAGCTGAATGAATTGAGTGCGGTCAGAGAGATATGATTTGAACCAGTCTAACGGAGTACCCGAGATGCCAATGGAGGTTAGTCTGTTGAGGAGGATAGAATGACAGATTGTGTCGAAGGCAGAACTTAGATCCAGTAAAATGAGGATAGACAGAAGAGCAGAGTCCTCTATAGTCCTCTCACAAGTTTAGGTTTGCAGAAATTCTTACTGATGTCCTAAACTGTTTTTTATTTGTTCTGCAGCCTGAACGAATAGATCCTCCTGATCCCACCAAACCTGACTACGACATCAGAGCAGACGTGTGGAGCCTTGGCATCTCTCTGGTAAACCTCTTACATGTTCTCACCATGAGCAACTTGGAAACTTGCACATTGTCACAGCATGTGAAAGAAGTCGTCAGCAAATCAAACCTGTCAGATTGAAGCAGTTGTTGTTCCATTTTGAAGCACTGAGCAAGATTAAAGTTGAAGAACATCAAGTGTTTGGTTGATTTTTATTGGGTCCCTTGTCTCTTCTAGGTGGAGCTGGCCACAGGTCAGTTTCCTTACAAGAACTGCAAGACAGACTTTGAGGTTCTGACCAAAGTGCTGCAGGAAGATCCTCCCGTCTTACCTGTCGGCATGGGTTTCTCCCCTGACTTTCAGTCCTTCGTCAAAGATTGGTGAGTTAAAGTCAAGCTAACGCTAACTAGCTGCAGTTTTCTCAGAGCCGCTGTAGAACAATCTTCAGCTTAATTAAATGTATTTTCAGTAAGATCCAGATGCAGGCTTTACTCCTGAACAAACCAGCTGTTGATTTCAGCGTCCCCAATGTGTGTAAATCCTCATTCAGGAAAGTGGATTAACAGATATTTTTATTTATGGCTACTACCCATGAGAGTAACTTAATTTGCACTTATGAAATGTAAATGGTAAATGGACTGTACTTATATAGCGCCTTTCTATCTTATTTCAAGATACTCAGAGCGCTTTACACTACAATCTGTGTCCTCATTTACCCATTCATACGGCTCTATACTAGATCTCTACAAAGCTAATTGAACAAATCATTCTAAAGAGACTAATCAGTGCTTTTAGATCACATGCATACACTGATGGGACACATCAGAGCTATGAGGGGTTCAGTGTCTTGCCCAGGGACACTTCAGCATGTGACTGCTGGTGGATTCGAACCCCCAACTCTCGCATTGGAGGACGACTGCTCTAACCACTCAGCCACAGCCGCCCCTGTCAGACTGATGCTTGCATTTTTATACAACACGCAGAGTTAAACTGCCAACTGTAAGTAAGGGAGTCCCGGACCGATGGCACGTATTGTATCAGATTACAAATCAACATTTTTTTATTTATTGCGTGTGAGTAGCAGACCCTCATCTTCTGAGCTGATACTGTTTGCAGTTTTAGATTGTATCAGCTGTGCAGCAGCCATCCCATAACCTCTGATGTGCAGGCGTAGAAACTAGCGGCACGTGGTTTTCTCTTCTGTCGGTGGGAAGAGATTTGCTAACCTGAAGCCTGACCAGTGTCGAATGTTCTGCGTGATATAGCTCTTCTCTCGTCCGGCTGCTCTACTGTGACACGATGCTGATGTGGAGTTTAGACACTGAAGGGTAAAACAGAACAAATGGAAGCCAGCGTTAAAATCTCAGTGGTGACAGAACTGAGTTTTATTTTGCCTGAATGAAGCACTCTCTTCATGTGGAACTTTTTCTGGCGACGGTGCACAAGCAGCCATTATGTGTTAGCAACGTTAGCATATTTGCAACCACCAGCATGGTGAAGTAATGCCCATCTTTGACGCAGCACCTTCTTCTGACACAGTTAGACTCGTAGTTTTCATCACCACATCGTTAATGGAGATCATTTATTCGAACTGTTTCCAGCACAGTCTGTGGTTGGTTGAAAACATCCGTAAGTTGTCAACAAAAGGTAAGTATTGAGAAGAGACTTGATGTTAGCAAGTTTTTTTTAATTTACACAAAATGATGTCAGAGACTAAATATCTTGATCGGGCCATTCCCTGTTGGCAGTACAGTAGTCCCTCGTTTATTGCAGGGGTTACGTTCTGCAATAAGTGAAAACTCGCAAAGTAGCAACATTATATTTATTTTAGTATTTCTATATATTAAGGCTTTATGAACCCTTCCCACACTCTTGTAATGTTCTAAACTTAAACCTACGGCATTTTAACAACATACGTACATACAGTACTGTAATGCAGCTACTAAATTTTTACTTAACCAGCTCGGAAGAACAGCAGCAGCTCTCTGTTCTGCTCTGGTTCTGATCCAGTTCTGTGCAGCCGTTGAGCGTCAAAGTACATTGGGTGGAGTTGTGGTGGTGGGGAACCTTCGAGTGGCCGGCGCAGGAACGTTGGTCTGAAAAATATATTTTTTAAAAGTCCGGTGTTCTCCAGAGAGTAGCCAGACCTTCGATGATGCCTCCCCTCGCTTCGAGGTCCTCATGGGCCGGCTATCAGCTCTAGTGTTCGTTGATGGTTTGGAGGTACAGTTCTGCTCTGGTTCTGTGCCGGCTCCCGGTGGGTTCATGTGGCTCTCTGAATCTGCTGGGTGCCGAAGTCACTGTGATAAGCACTGAACTTTTTCAGATCAGATCACATCTTTCCTTCTAGTATTTCAGCAGAAGGAAATGGGGCTTCTGGGGCAGTGCCCTGTTGGCTTCTGGGAAATGTAGTCATAATGAGTGGCGATACAGTGTGGGCTTATTGAGATAAAACTACAAAATGGCGGCAGCTGTCCAAAGTATTTTATTTTTCGTTAACTTTTTACTGTACAGTACTGTATCCAATCATGTGAGTAATATCAAAATTGACACTCGTGTCCTGTACCATTATTTATTTTTCTCCTCGTGTTCAATGTTACTTTGAAAAACCACAAAAAAGTGAGTCCGCGAAAGTCGAACCGCGAAGTAGCGAGGGGCTACTGTATGTAAAATGATGGCTGCTGTTAGAAACTAGTTGAATATAAAAATAACTATATTTAAAATCCATCTTTGTCTCGTGTGTAAATGTTTTCCAGCCTCACAAAGGATCACAGAAAAAGGCCAAAATACCATCAGCTGCTGGTAAGTCGGTCTAAATGATGGGCAGACACTTTCTATTGATGTAAAAGTGCAGTTGTGATTAAACTCGCCTCTTTTCTTCTTCTCGTTGTCCTGTCTTCAGGAGCATAGCTTCATCCGACGTTACGAAGTGCTGGAGGTGGATGTGGCTGGTTGGTTTCAGACAGTGATGGATCGCACCGAGTCTCCCCGCAGCAGCCAGTGTTACAGCCATCAGCACATGCTCCACTCGCTCTTCAGTAGGTAGCCTAGTCTCCGTCAGCGCGGTGTTAGCTTCGCCAGACGCTACACCCAGCTCCAGACCCATCCCGCCTGTCTATCTGTCCACCAGAAAAGCTGAAGAGGAGACGCTCAGTGGAGGACTCTAAATGAGCAGATGGACGGATGGACGGAGGTGCACTGACAGATGGACAGATAGATGATACCAAGTTGGCTTCTTTAGTAAATGTAGGACTGGCAGACAGGGAACAGCAGAGTTCAGATACCCTCATGTATTCACACGTTTATCATATCACAGCGTGTTCAACAGGTCATGCTTACTGCCCTGTTACCGCCTGTTGTCACTCGTATCTTTATCGTGCGTGAGTTTCGAGCAGCGATCCAAGCCTTTGGATTAGTCAACAGAGTAGTCACTACACTGAAACAAAGGGTCTGCTACGTTAGCAAACAGACATCACTTATGTACATAAACAGTAAGGACAACAGCATCTGTGCAACTATAATTCAGGTGTTTCTCTTACATTCTCAGGCTGAGTCTAAACATGTTCTAGGTGTGTGTGAACGAGCGTTTTCACGTGTTTGTGTCAGAGTAAATATGTAAACGGCTGTTTTTATCAGTGAGGTGACATTTCATAGCCATGTTTTTATTCTCGTCACTACAGCGCTAACATCAGTCGTCTTTCAGCTGTGCAGTTAATTACGGTTGCGTTATTGTGATACTACATTGGTTAGATTACAAACTGTTGTATTTAGAAAATATATAATTGAGGGGGGAACAGAAAATGAAATGCAAAAAAAAAATTAGTGTTGTTGCTTTATAGTCATTTGTGGCTTTGTGTTTAAAAAAGATCATTCAGAGGATGAGTTAGAAAGGCTGTTTTAAAAGTGGGATGTATTCCTTCACTTTTCTGTCTAGTTGTAGAAGATGAAAAGGTGAAAGGCAGGTGGAAGGTTTGTTTGCAGGTGAAAGGTTGGATGTTACTAAGGATAAGGACTAGAAGTTTGTTCTGTACAAAGAACGCGGCATCTTATCGGCTGTGGAGCGATTGTAAACGTCAAACTCTGTGTCTACCTCTTCTGTGTCCACGTCTCTGAGTACGTCACTGCTTCCACACCAAAGGTTGCTGCAGGAGATGTTCTGCTAACTCAGGTGGGGTAAAAGTCACGAGGGCAAGTTATCAGACCTCAAGGAGGGGTGTCCAAGTGTCAACCTGAGCGTTCACAAGAACCTGCTTTAAAAGAAAACTTTTTATACAGGGTCGTTTCGTAATCACATCTAGGCCTGTCACGATAAACAATCAATTAATCTCATGATACATAAAAATGATCAACCTCATTTTCATTTATCGGCTTTATCGCTTCTTCATGTCTCTCTCTTTCTGAAGACACAGGATGACAAAAGGCTCAACTCCGGTGCTCTTCACTGACCCCTCCCTTTCTCTTTAAAATCCATTTTAGCCGTCCAAAATTACGTTTTTGGATCGTTAAAAGCAGCTAAGCTGAGAAGCTAAGCTAAGAGGCCGACCTCAGGAAATAAACTCCGTCTTGTCAAAGCTCCAAAATTTGCGGTTGAAACCTGTGCCTTCATCTAAAAGTTTTTCTCTGCAAAAAGAAGCTGAGAACTTGTTTACTGATTTTTTTATTTATTAAAAACTTTGTGTGAAAAATGTTATGCTAAAGAACTCAAACCACACTGAGTGTCTGCCATTTTGAGAACTGAACAGAGACAACCCATGCCATGTCAAGGGGCCTCCCTTCCGTTTTTCTTAAAGAGATGCTGCTTCCTCCCTCATTATCCATCCTTCAGTTCAAAGTCTTATACTGCCATCCAGTGGTCAAAAAATATACTAAACAAAAAACAAATTAACCATTTCTTCTTAATTTTGACAATAATTACTAATTATTGTCAAATTTCAAACAATATTATTGTTTATTGCAATAGTTTCTGAGACAATTAATCGCCCAGCACAATTTATCGTGACAGGCCTAATCACATCCAGTGCTTTCTCTAACTTGACCTTTCAGACAAAAATTGAATGTCTGTGAGTCATTGGCCATCCAGGGTGTTCCCACCTTTGGCACAATGACTGCTGGAGATAAGTACCAGTTGAACAGGAACAAGCAGATTAAGAACAAGTGTTAAAAAAAAACCCAATTGAACCAGACAATCCATCACCCTCGGGTACATCCATCCATCATCTTTACCCGCTTCTTCCTTTCTGGGTCGCAGGGGTCACTGGTGTCCATATCCAGCAATCACTGTGTGAGAGGCGGGGACACCCTGGACAGGTCTCCAGTCCATCACAGGGACACATAGAGACAAACGAGACAACCATTCACTCTCTCACTCACACCTAGAGACAATTTAGAGTTACCAGTCAGTCTAACATGCATGTTTTTGACCTGTGGGAGGAAACTGGCGTACCCGTAGAAAACCCACACATACATGGAGAGTACATACAAACTCCATCCAGAAAGGCCCCAGGCCGGGATTTTAACCGGTGACCTTCTCGTTGAGAGGCAACAGCTCTACCAGTTGCGCCACCGTGTCGCCCCCCTCGGCTACAGGAAGAATAAAAAAATAAGACAAATACTGTGGTGCAGGAGCCCAGAAGGGTTTGCTTTGACGAAAAACAATTAAAATTTCTTCCTGAACATTTTGACTTTAATCTTGACATAACAGGAATAACTTCAATCTTACGTCTGTAAAACAAAATGTACATCTTCATCCTCAGTTTTTCTAATCTCCCAAATATACTAAATTTAAAAACAGTTCAGCCGATTATTAGTTTTATATCAATGTGGAGCTGATCATCATTAATCAGGCTTTGCTCCTTGGGTAATTTGTCATTAAAAATGATAGAAATGTTGTGATCTGTTAGAAAAGATTTCTGTTCTTACGCTGCTGAATCTGTGGAAGCTGGCATCTAACAAGTAACTTTAAAAAAAAAAGACGTTTTAGTAACAAGGATCTGTAATCTGTGCTGATTAACATCAAAGTGCTGACAGACTGTTGTTCGTCCAAATTTTTCTGCAAACTAAGCAGTTAAATAGTTATTTAAAGTAAAATATGACGTATTATGTTAAAATAGATGTTTTCTAGAACTTATGGACCCCCAGGTTCGTTTGACTTGGACTCCTCTCCATGGCCCTGTCCACACTGTGCCAGCTATTTGTGAAAACAGAGACTTTCTGCCACGTTTGCTCTTCTCTTCAACACACAATGTTTTTGCTGGAAAACAAGAAATTTTTCATAAGTTCATTTTTAGAAACTCCGATTTGGGCGTGTTTGTGTAGATTCACAATGTGAAGTTTTCAGAAACGATGGCCTGTTTTACACGTTTACGATCAGTTTGTGCCCTAGAAGCCAAAACAACAACGGAGCCGTTTTCACTGGTTTATGTTTTTACAATCTGCCCTGCCGTTTCTGATCTGAACATTAATCTTTGATCAGACGCTAAAAAGGTTCATAACTGAAGGGAAATTATAAACCAGATTAAAGAAAAGGGAAAAAAAACTAAATATTTTGGGCAAACTCAAAATGCCCTTTCTCTGTACAAGTAGTCCCTCGCTACTTTGCAGTTCATTTTTCGCGGACTCACTCTATCACAGTTTTTCAAAATAAGATTGGACATGGCACACGATTTGGCTGATTGATGGATAAGTGGGGAGTGGTGGCGCAGAGGTTAGAGAGGTGGGCCTGTGATCCGAAGATCGCCGGTTCACGCCCCGGCCCCGACAACATCAAAATTGTGGGTGGGGTAGGTGAAACACACAAACTTGCCCCCACCCTCATTCGCCCCACTCTGGGCCCATGAGCAAGCCCTTAACCCCCACCATGTGCTCCCTAAAAAAAAGCAGGTCTCTCTTGAAATTGAGTTCTCGTGGCTCAATGAGACTAACCTGGATAAATAAAGGCTAAATGAAAAAAAAAAAAAAAAGCTGCACGATCAACATGAAATTTTTTTATTTAAAATACATTATTTTAAATTATTTAGCACCTGCTGCACCTCTGTGCAGTCCATACTGTAGGAGAAACTTCCTCCTGCAACCGATCAGCTGATCTCCGTGCAGAGCAGAGAAGTGGGCGTGGCCGAGAACGCTTGCCGGTGGCACAGATCAGCTGATAGCTGAAATCATGACATTCTGTGCTCTTTTAGAGCGTTTAGAGTTTAGAAACATTGTTTAGAATATTGCAAGAGTGGGAAGGGTTTAAAACACCATTATATCTCTATCTATCTATCTATCTATCTATCTATCTATCTATCTATCTATCTATCTATCTATCTATCTATCTATCTATCTATCTATCTATCTATCTATCTATCTATATCTATCTATATATCCGTCTATCTATATATCTATCTATATATATATATATATATATATATATATATATAGATATATATATAGATATATAGATATATAGATATAAATATATATATAGATATATAGATATATATAGATAGATAGATGTATCTATATAGATATACACACACACACACTAAAATAAACTACTACTTACTATTTGTACTACTATTCTTGCTTCGCGGTTTTTCATTTATTGCGTGTCTTCAGGGTACGGATCCCCACAATAAACGAGGGGCTACTATATTTCAAAACTTTGTAAATGTGCACGTTCTCGCCACCTGGTGGTGGAGTGTGAGTATTAGTGTTTTAATAAATTCGTGTGGACGAATAAAAACGTACATCTGTATAAAAACCGTGCAGGGTAGTGTGGGCGGGGCCTGGGAGTGAGGATTGTTCTGATGGAGGGGAGAGCATCGGGTTTCATGAACGAGGCCTGAATAGGAGCTCTGGTCCACGTAGGTCAGATAGAGCACCTCAGCTCCCCCCCTGCAGGTTCACAGCTAAAGCCTGCTTGATGTAGGTGCAAACTACACACACAAACCAAACCACAGCTAGACACGCAGAGCTGAAGGTGGGTCAAACAGGAAGTTGTCAGTGGGTGAAGCTGAGAGGATCGGGGATGTTGTCAGGAGGGCAGAACATGAGAGGAGGCAGAGGAGCAGAAAGGAAAGATGGAGAGTGTAAAGAAAGTGAAGGCAAGTTAAAGAAAAGTCAGAGACTAACTGGTTGTTGGGATGGAAACGTGGGGAAACCACTGGACAGCCGCGCTCTGAGCTGAGCTGGCTGCTGTAAAAAGCTTTGATGGCGTGACGCCAACCTGTCATTGATTTTAGAGGAGGTGCTTGTTTACTCTTCTGTTCAGATTTTATTTATTTACACATTTCTGCTGCTACTTCTACCACTTTAGATGCTGCTTCACGTCTTTCCCCCAAAGGAAGGAAACATGTTATTCTCGTTTGTTTTTGTTTCTGTTTAAGCCAAATAAATGAAATATTGCAATGTGTAAACATCTGAACCAAATACAGAAGAACAGAGAGAGAACGCACGTGAGAGGCGGTGGAGCAAACGTGCACGGAGGTCTGTTTGGAGAACTCACCTCGCTTCTTTTTAGCTCGATGAATGTAGTAAGGATTTGTACAAGCAGCGCCGCACTACAACTCTGTACAGTGTAGGTTTAGAGGGGACGTCTGTCCAGATCCTTTCAGTCCTTCCAACACTGTCCGTCTGTCCATCCCTCCATCTGTCCAGAGGTCGCCTGCTCGTCAAACTGAACAGTTCACACCAAAGGTGACCACGACTTGAGACGTGCAAGAGCTTTGTTCTTATTACGACGTTGGAACTGATGGTTTATCATGTTTGTGGACTCTTGAGTGGGAAAGAATGTGTGTTTGTTTTGGCAGGGAGGCATGCTGTGTTAAAGCTGTTGTCATGGGGGGGCGGGGGGGCTGGTGCTCTGACAACAGAGGTCATGAGACGGTCCGTCTGCTCAGTGGACCACCGTTGGCGTGGCTCTGGTTTTTATCTGCTACTCAACACGACCAGGGTCACAGCGGCTGGCTCACACTCACCGCAGCAGCAAACACTGTTCAGAACCGCTGTTACACAACGCAGGTCCAAACCCTTTGATACAGTTCTTCACAAAACACTTCAGTTTTTTATTTTGAAGACTTGTCTTGAGATTTAAAACGGAAATATTGTCCTCATCACATTTGACTGGACAGACGG